ATGAGTAAAAGTCACTGTACCTGCAACAACTTGAAGAGTAATTCTTTTGTACCAACAGCGTCCTGGACTGTCTGTAGTCTTCATACAGCAGTAAGTGTTTGCATCACTCTCTCTTAGATCAATGATGGTTAAAGTTGTTTTTTTCTCTTCTGGCATGTTGTACGTTACACGTTGTCCATCCACAGAGAGCTCACTCTGAACATACTTATAACCATCCCAGTCTATAGTGAACCATTTGCTGCTTGAGGTCAGATGTTGATGTGAGCAGTGCAGATCCACTGATGAACCTTTGAGAGCACAGATCCTGGTTTCTCCTCCATTAACACCTTTAATGGAAACTTTCATTAGTGAACAGATTCATTATTTTTGTTACTCTCTGTTTTACATCATGAATTTTTAAATAATGTTATAACTGCAGTGTAAGAAATAACTTGAGTATTTTAAGTTATAGACAGCCATGAAGTCTCTATAATTTATAATATAATTATAATAATATAATCCTTTTTATTCATGTTTAATGACTCCTAAATAATTACTCATATCTTAGAGGCAAAGCACAAATTGAACACGGTATCAGACACCCATCATTTGTTATTGTTGTAACTTTTACATATAAAGTTGAGAGAATAAATACAACAGCTTGAATATTAAAAAGACAATCTAAGTGCATCAGCTAACAGGACAGTTTCATATTTAGTTGTCTAACACATCGAACACACAAAACACGACTTCTTTCTTTCATTTGAGTCTGTTTTGTTCATCATATTAGAAATGACGTGTTCTTTGAGTTGTTTTTGCAAGAGCAGGAAGCTGCAGCGGTTAAAACTGTTGTCTGTGTCTGGTTTATAATGGTAACACCTCTGCGGTGAAACAGAATCTCCAGGCTGAAGATCAGCGATCAACATGAACAGCTGTGATGATGAACTCTGCTTACTCTGCTGTTAGAAACAGCAGAGTATGCAGAGGTAATTGGAAGTAATTGGAATCACAAACAGCTTTAACATTCACACAGCATGTGTGTTCTAGAAAACCCCCACAAACAATGAGGGATAGGAATTTTATAAGGTGGCCTTGAGAGGTCAGATGCACTGCAACATGGAAAAAAAAGAAACAAAAAGCTGCAAAAACATGCAAAACACAATGGAAGTGTTGTTGGGGCTACAACAATATGATTTCCTGCATGTTTTTGTGTCTCACAACATCAACGAATACTCATCTTCTTATGAGCAAGTCTCAGTGCAATCCTTTGTATCAGCAATCTTTAAGCAGCTGTTCTGTCACATTTTATTTTTATTATTTTATCCTATTTATTTTTTATTACACAGGAAGATGTAATAAAAAAAGATCGCCTACAAATAGAAATGCACGTGTAAAGAAGAAACAGAACAGCTTCAACACAAAATAAAAAATGCACAGGTACATAAATCAACAATATTCTTATGGGGTGTGAATGTGTGTATCTTTGTCACAAAATGTACTTGAAAATGACGTGGGATGCCACAATAACGCTCCCATGAGACAGAGGCAAACGGAGATGGATCCGGGAGAACCGGGCCATCTGCAGCCCTGTAGAGCAGCGGTCCCAAAAGTTTTTTGCGCCACCTGTTTAATGTCAGACAATCTTTTCACAGACCAGCCTTTAAGGTGTTGCGGATAAATACAACAAAATAAAATTATACAACCAAGACAAAAACTGTGTTATTTTATAAATATAATAATAAATGTGAATTCACCTTGTAATTGTGTAACATTATCAGCAACATCCTCCTGAAATGCACCAAAAACATCCCCCTCTCTGCCCCTTATTGCTCTCTGGTTGCTATGGTAACTCGGAAATATTTCTCTCAAAATAAGACACACAACTACAACACGGGAAAAGACCCAGGTAAGCCAATTTAACAATAAAAATCCTGAAAACCATAAATTTCACACCTGAGCCTCAACTCTCGTGGCATGGTACCAAACGACACATGGACCAGTACTGGTCTTTTGCCCGGGGGTTGGGGACCACTGCCGTAAAGTACTGAAGACCTAAGGCCACACATCTTGGCAATATCTGCACGTACATCCCAGCAGGAGAGGAAGGGAGGCCTTAATTGGGCCAAGTTTCATGGCCAAAAGGGTTTGAGTTCCAGCGGACCAGATGATCTGTCATAGGCCGCCCCTGGGCTCCAGGCGCCAAGAACTGCCCAGTTTGCCTGCACACGCATACCTGCTCAAGATCAGGTTATGTGTTCAACAAAGGTTACGCTGGAGATCTGACATTGTACTAAGACAGCCACCTCTGTGATACTGACTGCACTTTAATCTTAACACACCTCATAATAATTATCTCAGTCTGGGGATTGTTGTTCCAGTAATGATGTTATACTTCTTATACTATCAACATATTCATACTGTGAGCTGACAGGAGACCATTTTTGATCTTTTTATATGTTGAAACACAACAGAAGATTCATTATCAAATGTGTGCAGATTTAAGTTTACACGTCTTTCTACTCTGTGACAGTCATTTAATGATGATATTATTGTACCATAAAAGATTATAATCTTGCACTTTCGGACTCTTCAAGAGCTCATCAAAGCTAAAACGCTAAGACCTGTAAGGAGGAAGGAGGAGAAAGAGTCATTCCTACCTGAGAGACACAGAATGAAACCCAAAAACAAAAATCCAGCTTCTGCCACGATCATGGCTGCTGTAGATTTCAGCTTCTGGTCAGAAAGTTGATTGTATGAATCTTTAAAAGATCTTTAGAGCTGAACGTGCTCACGGGAAAGGCCGAAAACAGAACTGACAGTTATGAACGTCACTACGTCTAAAAAATAAACTGTATGAAGGTTTAACACCTTTTAATCACTTCCTCCATCATCATGAGTTTTAAAAGGAATTGCGTAATGCAGTATTTTTGTCTCTGTATGCTTTTCATCACCTTACAACAAAAAAAACCCAAACATTTTTAATGTTTTTAGTGTGGAAAAAAATGTCATTCTACATTTCTACATTGATATGGACTGGGTAATGTGTTAGGAGTGAAAGGACACCACTACTCTGAGCAACCAATGAGCAACCAACAGAGAGCAGAATTCAAACACACACTAAAAATCAAAATGGAAATATGATACAAAATTTTGTTTTTGTAAATAAAAATGATTCTTAGTAGTTTGTACTGCCCCCACATGCTTTTATGCATGCCTGACAACATCAGCATATCCTCCTGAAGTCACAACAGATGCTATCCTCAGGGTCAGGCGAGTGTTGGGGTCAGTCAATGCTATTAATTCTTTCATCCTCCAATAACTGCCTGCATACTCTCACCACATGAAGTTAGGCATCGTCGTGCACCAAGAGGAAACCAGGATCCTACACTGCACGAGGTCCGACAGTGGGTTCAAAGATTTCATCCTGGTACCATGTCAGTCAGGGTCCAACACAATCAGAGTGCTTGTGGGCAAGAGTTTGTGTGCAAGTGGGGTTGGGGCAGTCAGTGAAAAAGCGATGATGGAGATTCAGAGTTTTGCATGTCTCAGGGGTGGAGGGAGGAGGAGGAGAATGTAGGTCTGGAGTTCATGTGTGAGAGAGTCGAGAGGTAATGTAATGCAAAGGGCTTTTCCCGTGAGATAGTAGATGTCCTGGAGAGAGGGAAGGGAAGTACCCATGATCTCTCCGCTGCTCTCACTACTCGTAACTTTTTCCGGAAGGACCCAGTGCAGGAGCCATACTACCCAGTGATGGAGCTGGTGAGGATACTCAATGGTGCCTTTGTAGAAGGTGCTCATGATGGGGGTTGAGGCTCTTGCTCTCCTCATCTGCGGGGTGGGGGGTTCAGAAATGAGGGGGTGAAGTTACTGGGAGGTCTCAGCCTAGGAAGACTGGCAACTGTTTGAATCTTTTTTACTTGTTGAATATCTTTCTCACTGTAGAATGATGGTCTTCAAATTGGGATAGACTTCAAGTATGAAGAAAACATGTTAGTGTCATGAAAAGTTAGCAACCATGTCTCCTACCAATAGCACCACTGGAAGTTCTTGTACCAGATGTAGGCTGCAGGCTTTTCAGTCAGAGGACAGCTGCTGCTGCACATCAGTGTTACAGTCTGTCCCTCTGTGGCAGGAATCACCTTTACCTGCAGCTCTGAGAGGATGATGGAGAACAACTTATACAATGATGTCATTTAGAAAGTTATTAATGAGTAAAAGTCACTGTACCTGCAACAACTTGAAGAGTAATCGTTCACTCATTGATGGTTAAAGTTGGTTTTTCACTTCAGCATGAAAGCTCACTCTTTGATCCATTCAAGTGTGCAGTGAACCATTTGCTGCTTGAGGTCAGATGTTGATGTGAGCAGTGCAGATCCACTGATGAACCTTTGAGAGCACAGATCCTGGTTTCTCCTCCATTAACACCTTTAACACAAACTTTCATTAGTGAACAGATCAGCTGTGATTGTTGCTGTTCGCTGACATTTAAAGTTAAGAGTAAATGTAAAAAAAACTCAGACATTAGAAAGACAAACTAACCACCTCACCTTGCTGGGTTAACTTCTCTTTATCAAAGAGGTTGTTCTTTCATAAATTGCATACAGTAATTCAATACAGTCAAAACCAATAATAAGTAATTGTTTCACTGTATATTTTTGACTCATAAATAATAAATCAACTTAGATGTAAAAGGTAAAAACTGAAACAGGCTTTTCAGTCAGAGGACAGCTGCTGCTGCACATCAGTGTTACAGTCTGTCCCTCTGTGGCAGGAATCACCAGGAATCAGGAATAACAGTAACTCTGAAACAGCTCAAAAATTAGAAAGACAAACTACCTGCATCACCTAGCTGGGTTAACTTCTCTTTATCAAAGTCGAGGATTAAAATAACAACAGAGTGACACTTTCATATTCAGCTGTTTAACATTACACAGTAAAGCATAACTTCCTATACATGTCTCTTCTTCTTCATGTATGTGCATGCTGTGAATGTGGCACAATAAATTACATGCAATTATTTCCCATACTATTGACAACACATAAAGTGTATTTTAGTACTTTGTGTTGTCTCTCTTCTTTTGTGTGAGCAGAAGCCTACAAAGGTGTTCAAACTGTTGTCTGTATATGGTTTATGCCAGATACTGACAACAGTGCACTGCCGTGCATTAGTTTTTATTTTATCCTTTGTTTTAATCAAGAAAAAAAAGTTGTTAATGAAAACTATGAAGAAAGTTACCTGTCAACTAATTAACACTGGCCATAAATTACCCCTGAGATGGTAGTCATTATAAATATCATCACGCATTTGCGAAAATTGGTGAACATGCAACACTGAGCTAATTTCTGCTTTGTGGCAGTGTAAAAGTTCATTACCGTTACTGATTGTTACAGTTAAACTTGTCTTGTTGGTTTTAAATGTACATTTAAATATTTTCTTAATGTTTATTGGGGTTTATGATCAAGAACATTTCATTATCAAGCATCTAAACAGAACTACACTACTTCAGTATTCTTCTTCTAAATAAGTGGTAATAGTATTGAAAGGGTGTTAAAGTGTTCGAACTGTAAAAAAATAAAACACAAAATTACTATGCTCATTTTGGTTTCATACATAGTTTAGCAAAACACATGTAGCGATCCAATATGTGATTTTAAATTGTTACATGTGAGCTTTAAATATGCAGGTTATCAAGTTTCACTTTAAATCCAACCTGTGTTCTTCGTCTTCTGTCGTGTCTTTGTTTGACCTTTTTCCATCTCTGAGTAAAGTTATCTCATACTCTTTTTTTTTTGCTCCCTGGGACATCTAGCAACTGGAGCTTTAGCTAGCAACACAATATGCGACAAACTGCATGGAACAGTGTGAGTACAAGAAAACAATTATTACAATATGATGTGTTAAATTTTCTTAGATGAGAGGGTCCAGCAGTAGATCAGAGGAAGAGGTCTGTGTGTTTGGTTTGGCCGAATGTGATGAAACACCTGGCGACGTATAGCATTTTGTTAAAAGCCGAGAAATGCACCGTATTTGATAGCTTGCTGCGAGACCTCACACCGAGCACATCTACTGCAGGAGTGGTGCCTGTTATCGGACCCGGAGTTAGCAACATCCCCCAAAAACCTTAGAGTCCTGGCCCCTAGCCCTGCCAGTGTAGCAGAAATGATGACGGATGATGATGGCAGCAGCAGCCGTTCTTCTCTGCGTGAGTAGCTTAATGTTGTGTATGTGTAATTTACATTGAGTAGGCTAACCACGTTATTACATTAATGCATGTAAGGTGAACTAGCAAACTCCATCGTAGTTACATGCGGCTGTCCTCTTGTTTGATGGCAGATACTCCCTTCACCCTGGCCAAAAAGGTTAAAATGACCAAAGAAAAAGTGGAAAACAGTTAAACATGAGAGGATTTTGGACAAAGTTTGTTTTTTCCATTGATTAAGCACTGCTTCCAGCCAAGAGTGATACCATAAATCCCCTATAGCTGCAGAAAAGGCTAACATTGTTATCTTTTTACAAAAAAACAGCTGAACATGAGGTTTTTGGACCAATTTTGTGTTCTCCATTCTTTAAGCACCGGCACCATTTCAAAAGTACCCGTTTGGTGCTGGTATCGGATAAAACCCAAACGATACCCATCCCTACCTGTACTTGTATATGGTGGACCATTAAAGGGGTTAAGCCCTATACGGGGTGTGAGGGGAGATGACCCTTCTATGAACAGAGATGTTGTTAAAACGGTTGTAACCAGGAAGTCACGTATACAGACACGCATACACACACACACACACACATTCACACACATTCACTCACATACTCGCACGTGCATATACACAAATAGCCTTAGCTTCTACGACACACCATATGGGGTTTACAGGGGGGGGGGTTGTGTAACTGTTTTCATTCAATAAAAGCTGCGAAGGGAAGCTGGGGCTTTGGAGCTGACTGAGGTCGGGTGCAGAACTTGCAACTCTGAGAATCTGACTGGGCTTCCCTTGCACAAGTAAAACCAATTGAGCTCTGATTGTCTTGCTTTGTTCATGGTGATAAGTCTCTGAGTTAGCGAGGCCTGAGAGTGCAGACCTAACAGAAGGGAGTAAAAGTAAAAAGTTGTCAGAAAAATACTCAAGAAATGCAGAGATACCTGAAAATTGGACTTAAGTACAGCAACTGTCCCAAACACAATTAAAGACAAGGGATTTAAGTTGTGGAGGAAGCTTTATTTGCTGAGATGCAGAACTTAAAATGAAGTATAAAAAACACTAAAAGAAACAAACAAAAGTTAAACTAGAAACTAAGACTCTTTCAACTAGGAACTCACAACTTAACATAAACATACTTAGCATAAACAACGGAACGTGGACCACACACGAACGAGATTCAGGAAGCAGATTCAGATTAAATACACACACACAATAACGAGAGGATGGACAGCAGGTGGCAACACAGGGGGAACAAATCCGGCATAACAACACAGGGCAGGGCAGCGAAACTGATCACAATGAACACAGGATGAAAGACTAATAAAATAAAACAGGAAGTACAAAAAATACAACTCATTAAATCACAAAGAACTGAAGACTGACAGAAACAAACTTAATAGAAGATGTAAAAATAACCGTGAATATTTCAAAAATAAAAAGCATAATGTCCACAAACTAGAAAACACTGGGTTACAGGCACTGACAACAGCATCATGGAAATGCTCCTGTTTTCAGGGCTGAACTGACTGTAAGGTGGAATAAAGAGGTACCACGTGTTTGTTTGTGAAGTGCACTCTGCTGTAGTGGACTTCATCCTCCTGCTTCAGTTGTGTTGAGATGTTTTCATACACAGGACCAGGGCTGACCTGATGGAGAAAAACAGCATTACTTTATATTGCACTTTAAACTTGACTCCTTCTACTATATGATGGCAAAAATGAAATGGCCACTGGAAAGATTAGACAATCTACAACCCTAATCTTTACCTGTTCAATGTGGTCAGAACTTGTTGTTGCTGGAGACTGAGCAGAAGTTCTCTTTTTCCTGGTTAAAGTGAATAAACTGAAAATAAGTGACTTCAGAGCAGAGATTAAAGGTACTGCTGTGAACCAACACTTACCTAACACACCAGCAGACAGTGAGAAGTATTAAAACCAGCAGAGCAGCAGAAACTCCTGCAGCTGCTGGTGTCCATGTTCCTGTGATACTTTGGACAGTGAGAGTCTTTGGAGCAGAGCTGATATCTTTGTTGCTTTTCACAGCACAGGAGTAGCTTCCTGCATCCTCCCTGCTGACTGGGTCTAGGATCAGATGTTTGGTCTGGTTCTCTCTCGGGGTCAGAGGTCGACTGTTCAAGTACCAAATGTAGTTTGTGTTGTCAGTCAGAGGACAGCTGGTACTGCAGGTCAGTGTGACTCTCTGACCCTCCGTCACCACTGCAGAAGGACTCATCTTCACTCTCAGCTCTGAAACAGGAACATTGGTCAAAAACAAAAAATCTCCTGTGTGGCTTAGACATGAAAGATGGTTTTATGACTTTACTACAAAACCTCCTTGGTACAAGAACCAAAAAACCTCTCGGGTTTACACAATCCTTTTCTCCAGTGATGAAAAGTATTTATTTATTAAAGCAGTACTTAAGTACAAATTCAAGGTACTTTTGCTTTCAGTTTTGTGTAACTTTATATTCCACTATCTCAAATGATTATACTTTTTACTCTTCAATATTTATCCATCTTGCTATGTCTGGTATTAAAACTATTGTATTAAACCTGAAAAGAGTCAAATTTAATAATGTAAATATATTTAGAAATTAACGGGTGACAGCAAAACTACAAATGATTATTATGATTTAAGGAACTCCAGTTTAAAATACCAAACAATCTGTGCATAAAACTGTCAAAATTAGCTAAGCACAGATGGGGAAAACCTTTTTATTTATTTAAGTTGATTTCTTGAAAACATGTAAATACTTTCAAGGTGTTACAGTGTGCTGATACTATATTCACAACATTTGAATATTTCTTCCACCTCTGCTCCTGTTCAGACATTAATGAGTAAAGTCTGCTGAGTAAGAAATTAAGATTTACCTGTAACAATCAAAAAGACTCCAGGCAGATCAGACTGTGTCCATCCTTCATGATCTCTCTTGAATCTGAATGTGTATCCTCCTGA